ATTTTCCCGGTGCATTTGTAATGCTTTGCGTTAAAAACGTAACAGTTTTACCTCCTTCCTACAGGCGCATAGAAAATATATTGACGCTTGACTTGAACAGTGCGATCATTAAAACACATGTTTTAGCGCGTTTTACATGTGTCGCCATTAGCTATCATGTAACGCACGTGGTTACCAAAAGATGCAGCAAGCCGAACTTTTCAAAAAATGCAATGCGCTGTCCTCTGACGCGACGCACCGATGTAAAGAGCTTCATCGATTATAAGGGTGACTAGTTCTCATGCGTTTTCTAGCTTGCTGTGTTCCAAATAAAACGCTGTAATGGGCCCGCTCACGCCGTATCTTTTGGGCTGCTTTGCCTATTGCAATCTCCCTTAGGTCAGTCCTACCACCGCAGCTGAAAAAAAGTAGAATGCGTTGCATTTTGTTTCACCGTAAGCGCACTGTGACGCACCACAGCGCATCACAACCCGCTACGCTGTATAGAGATGAAGGAATTGTAATCTTAGTAGTAAAATATATCGCCAGCACACCAAACTAAAATCTTCAAAGTCCAACTTAAGGCTAGGTTCACACCTACACTACAACGCACAACCCCCTGGAAGCACGTCCTGTAATCGTGCGGTCCTCCACAATGCAGGCAGCGATTGCCGCATAGCCCCATTAATTTCAATGGGGTAACACCTGCGCGGCAATCGCAGAAAAAAGGTACAAGTACCCTTTTTATGCGATCCGCCTGGCGCCACTGGGGTGCCATAGGAAACTAAATGACACCAACAGCGCGATCAGTTCACACCTAGGCGACTCCTGACCGCACAGCAATAGGCAGGGAATCGTGCACGATTGGTGCGCGGTGAGGTGTCACCTAGGTGTGCACCTAGCCTTAAAGGGACATACCAGTAACGAGTGCGGTGGGGACGTCTTTGAATTGTCATGTTGTAACATTTCAATAAAGTTTAGAAAAAAAATTAAACATTGCAATGCATCATTGCAACGTATCGCGCTGCCCCTTCACAGCACCATCAGCGTGCGTTTCTGCAAAGGACACCGAGGGCCTGTGTTGGTTCCACCTGGTTTGCACTCCCATAGAAGTCAATGGGAATGCTTGAAGCACATCAGATGCAGCTCAGGAGCAGGTCAAGTGCACCTGTCAGTGATCTCATAAGCATCCCAAACGGATGCCAACAACATGAGCCGGAACAGGTGCTTATGATCACCATGCCCATGGTTCGGTAGGAGTCATTCTGCTGTAATCATTCCATTTAGAAATGGAGCGCAATTGGCATTTAAATGTCCGATTCGCTGTTGCTCATCATGGGTTGGATGTAGCGCACTATGGAAGCCATTCGCCCTGCAGTGCTTGGGCCCCCCGGGATCAGTTTCCAGCATGGAGTTTGTTCTCTTGCCTTCACGTGTCCCCTCCCACCATTTGAGAAGCATGCTCTTGTATTAGGTAGATTGTAAGCTCCTTGGGGG